TGCTTATTGTTTTTTTTTTTTTTTTTTTTTTAAATCAAATAGGGCTTTCCTGGACCACCTGGATTTCCTGGGCCACCAGTAAGTACAAATAAATAATGAATGATGATCATTGTTCTGACTACCCCATACTGATAAAAGTTGAAATCTTGTTGCTTGGAGGCATGTTTGTACACTTTGCATTTCTCATTAACTATGCCCCATAGTGTGTTTACATGCTGTAAAATGCTGCATAAATTGTAACTAATCTACATATAGAAAGTGAGGACTAGTATATTTTATTCATATTATTTAGTTGCATAACTTCAAGTGATTCGCAATATGCATATACTAAGCATAATATATTGTTTCCAGCATTATAACATGAACTATATGAAGATCCTTCCTTTGTGAGGTTCAGATATAGGACACATATATGACATAATCACTGATCAGTAGAGTCTACAAAAGATGTAAGTAAATTCTTACTTAGTAGGTTTGGAAAACTGAAAATTTATTTTTTTTGTTTTTTTTAGGGACCCCCCGGATTCCCAGGAAAGGCAGGACCCACAGGACCACCTGGGCCTCCAGCAGAAAAAGTAAAGCTATGATTTTTCATATTTCATAGAGACTTTGAAACTTTTACTTATACTTTGAACCGGTGATTTAGCCTTGCAGAGTAAAACAACATATTTTCTTAATTTCATCCCCTCCCTGACAGAACATACCCTCTCTTCATTTCTTGTTAAAATCAGATAGCAGCACACAGAATCTCTTTCCATGTCACAATTCTTCTGCAACAGACAAGTCATTCTGGCAAAGTCCAGAGTTGCAAAATTGTAATTCTAGGCCTCAATGAAGCTCAGTTCTAATCTGCACTTTAGCAGTTTCCCTGCTCCTGGTTGATTATTTCTGCCCCTTCTGGGATATCTCTTTATTTTCTTATAAATGAGAAGTGGTATTGACCATTGGTGCCTTGCTCTGCTCTATCCACCAACCATGACTTTGTTGAAGAATATTCTGTACCTTTTTCAGTTATACCATTCAAAGAGGATCTGAAATGTGGAAACTGTGCCCAAAAAATATATACAGCTATAACTCTGTGGGCCTGTGTCTAGCAGTCACATATACTAGGAAGTGCAGTGCAATTTGTTTGTAGGAATTCCAGATAAAAGGTGCATTTTTCAGGGTACTGCACAATAGGCACAATTAAAATTTTCTCTAATACATAGCAGATTTTCACTTTTTGAGTTTAGTTGCACTTTAACAGAATATGTTTTGTTGTCATATACGAACTTCCCAAAATCGTAATTCAATATCCATCACTCACATTATTAGCATTTGCTTAATTTCATCTATACCAATGAAAGCAAATAAATGTTGTGCCTTTCAACTTCAGTTGCCTATACGCTCACGTTTACTGTCTAAGACAAAATTGCGAAATCATTTTATAAATCAGCTATGCATGCCATGCTAGGTGTATTTAAGTAGATACTCTTGTGCAATACAGAAAGATGCTATATTGGTCTTGTTCAACTTAAGTAATTTATGTTTGTACTGTTTTGCAGGGTGTTGAAGGACAACGTGGCTCTCCAGGACTTCTAGGTCCTACTGGTCCTCCAGGACCTCCTGGAATGCAGGTGTGTATGACCCACTTGTAAAGCAGATGCTGTTTTTGTAGAAACCTTTTACCCTACTAACTCCTTGATTTTGTCAGGGTCCACCTGGAATCGAAGGACTAGATGGAAAGGATGGAAAGCCTGGTGCTAGGGTATGTACCAGATTTATATTATGAATGTTCCAACTCTATTAGTACCTAGATTTTAATTAAAAATGCTTTTCTGCTGACACAGCTTTTCTTTTGTCACAAAAATGTGACATAACAAGAGTGGCGCTAATGCCCTTCTGTATGGTCTTCAGCGTACTTAAAACTCTGCCACCCTTGTCTTAATCCTAATGTCACTGTGTATGTAATAGATATAATTCTGTAACATCAGTTGCCAATTCAAAGGCACATTGCGTCTTTATTAGATGCGTTGACTATGCAATAGATTTTTGTAAAATAAAATAAAAATTGTATATGAATAAAGATTGGTCTGAATAAGTTAAACACATACATGGATGCTGTGTTTATTTGTGTTTTATTTAGTTGTATTTACTGCATTTACAGTGTGTTATAAATACCTTGTAATTAGATTTTATGTTTTGCCATCTCTTTTTTGTTGTCTGCCTACAGGGAGAACCGGGTCCACCAGGACTTCATGGACTAAAAGGCATCCCAGTGAGTGAAAACAATAATATATGTTGCATTAATACAGTTGTACTGCAACTGGGACTCATTTAGTTACCGTTTCATGTTTAGTAATCTTATTCTTGAAAACAGATTTACTTATTCTGGGTATTTATTGGAGCTCAATTAGTTTTGATGTTCTTATACTGTCTGACAAATAGAATGTTTTAGTTTATAATGTATTGTTTTAAACTAGGGATTTAAAGGAAAAACTGGACATACAGGATTACCAGGAGCAAAGGTACCAATTTCACATTTGTCTATTCTAATAACAACTTAGAAAACACCCATTGAACAAGCTCTCACTGCCAACTTTCTTTGTCACAGGGAGACTGTGGACCGGCAGGACCACAAGGAAGTATTGGTCGGCCAGGAGCAGAGGTAGGTGAACGAATTTCTGAAGGATATGTTCAAATGTAATCCTAACCCATCAGCCATGTTGTCATAAGGACCAGCCCTCTCCCATAATATTGCACTGCTATGAGCCATAGCAATAAAGCAGTTTTACAGCTTTTATATCTTCCCCATACACCTTACTGATAACTTTAGTTAAAACATCAATAATTGTTTAAAATGTGATTTTCTGTCCAAAGGTTGCAATCCATTTGTTCTTCACATATGACAGTCAAAATGCCTGTTTCCATTATTTAGGGTGATCCTGGTCCTATGGGTCCACAAGGACGTCCAGGTCCTCCAGGACATATCGTAAGTGCAGGAAAATTATTTATGCTGGTTTAGCACTATTACTGTAGACTATATAATATATTTGGTATCTTTTTATAGGGACCTTCTGGAACACCAGGACAACCAGGCCCTTCTGGACCTCCTGGAGTTGTAAGGCCTTATAATGTAATACGTTGAAAGTAAAACACTGTCATTTATATTCAAACTAACCTATCTGTGTTTATTTTATGCTAGGGCTTGAAGGGAGACAGAGGCTCCCCAGGTGAACGAGGTCTTATGGGTCTTTCAGGAGAACCAGGAGGCCCAGGACATCCTGGACCAGTTGTAAGTACCCTATACATTTAGTAAGCAGTGAGCATTATCAATTAACCAATCACTGTGTATAAAACAGAAAAACAAACTAAAAGGTGCAAATATAGCAGAAACGCAAACATTGTGTGATAACAAAGAGAAATTTAGTGACTATTACCATTGTAAAATAGTCACCTACCCAAAAATTCTATTTGACTATACCGTATATACTCAAGTATAAGCCGAGTTTTTCAGCACATTTTTTGTGCTGAAAAATGCCCCCTCGGCTTATACTCGAGTCAGCGTCTCGAGAACTTGCGCTATATTATTTTTTTCTTCTTACTTACCTCGCCGAGCGTTGCGTCACTGCAATATGTAGCCCTGTACTACGGATTATTTATCACTTTTAATGTTACGGTATTTTTGATACCATATTGTTAATGTTGACCCCCTTTTCCACTTACAGAGCTAGGTTATTGTTTTTCTTTGAAATAAATATTCATGTAATTTTATTGGTATCTATCTTCATTTTGTACATTTACCAGTAGCTGCCTCATTTCCCACCCTAGGCTTATACTCGAGTCAATATTGGTATATATGGTAAAATTAGGTACCTCGGCTTATATTCGGGTCGGCTTATACTCGAGTATATATGGTAATTTATTCTTGCTATAGTTGTTTGCTCTGTTCCCACTAACCTACATTGCTTATAATGTACAATAAATTAAAAATCCAACAAGGCGAGAGGCATATGTGCAGGCTAATGAACTCAAGAGCAAAGATCTCGTCATAGGTTGATTGAGATATAACAAACTGCTATAAGATCTCGTTTAAAGTATACCTTAACAAAAAGGAAAGCTGTGGTCATAACAAAAGAAAAAAGCTAACACCAGCAGCAGGTATGCAACAGCATAAACTGTCAGTACATAGGAGTTGCTGATGCTACAAGAGCTAATTTCAGAATTGCCCTGAGCTTAGTGCAACCTACCCACAGCCAGTACCCAGATAGCAAGCAATTGAGCTGCAAGTTTGAAAATGACTTGCTAAACTATTGCAGACTTGCCAAGCTTCACAATTTTGTTGCACAATTACAGCAAGTCTGCATTGCAAGTCTCCAGATCAACGTGCTTTGCAAAGGTGCTGTTGCACTTGCCACCTTTTCTTCCAGCGAAACCCAAACACTCTAGCGACGCATGAAAATGTTTTTGGGAGAATGAGTCGTGGCTTATTCATATGTAAATAGCATCACCCATTCATATGTAAATATCACAGTCGAGACTATTTTCAGTGGGGGGCCAGTAGCCCCTATCTTAATTTTGGTTGCCCCTGTCTGCCTGACATCATGTGTCCGGGTTTCAGCTGCCATGAAGCCCGGACACAGCATTCAAAACTCGAACTGTCCGGGTGAATCCTGGACAGGTGGCAACCCTACTTGCAGAGCTCTTGCTAAGACCTGCAGGACTCTTGCTGTAGACTTGCCAAGCAAATTTGCTACAAATTCAAAAAGTGTCAACTAGAACTTGTGCTGCAAGTGCTCTGCAAGTCTACAACTTGGCAGGAATGTGTGCAGCAAGTTAACAAGAATTACAATTTAACCCTGCCACAAGTTTGTGGCAAGTTATCCTTGCTATCTGGGTAGTGTACATACATGAAGGGACCCTGCCTGGTCCCGAAACGTTGGATTATGCGATATGTGTGACGTTTAGTCCAATTAAATGGACATTTTTTGAATTTCATTTGCTGAGTGCTGGTGATTTCTATCCTTCATTGACTGTTGTGCACGGCACCATCTGGGATTGTCACTGCGAGCACCACTATTGCTACTTGGACCGGAAGTGCTGTAAGGAGTGCAGGGGGACCTACTGTTTTCTGGTGCCTTTGCCATCTATCAGAAGATCCAGGCCTTGTTTTGATGGGGGGTGGTGGAATACAGCCATACAGACAGCAAGCATGATATGTGCAATAAGCTGCAAGACCATACTCTCAGAATTACTGGAAATTGCTTCAGTGTGTCCCTGGATGACACACAAAATCCCATGCAAATAGTGTCATTCAAAAATGGAGTATTTGCATAGGCTTGGAAAAGCCCCTTTTCCCCCATTTAAAACATGACAGCAAGTTGGCCTAGTGGTAGGTTGCTCAGACACACCGCAAGTATGGAATGGGAGTACCTTATCTCCCTATATCCAAGAAGCTAGTTGTGATGGTGTGTTACAGTGGTGCAATGAAAATGGTTTTCTTTTACACAAATTGTGTGTTTTTGTACCTCATGGGGAATGGTATACAGAGGAACTGTACCCTAGATGTTGTGCTCAAAAAGAGGCAGGCAGAGGGCAAATGAATAGTCACCAGTATGGTCTCCCTTTAGCTGATGTTCCATTTACCCCATTTCCCATTTACCCCAATAACTGACTTACCAGTACTTGTTTTGCACAGTGTCTCAGTGTCTCTGTGTGGAGGCAGCCATCTTAGTAGAGGCAGTGTTTTGCTTCCTTATGTCAGAGGCTCCAGCAAGGAAAACAGTGAGCAGCAAAGTAGAAACATCACCAAATCCCACTACAAATCTCCTGAGACTAGCAGTCACAGGCAGCCTTCTCTTAGATCTCACACTGCAGATAAGGAGCTATGAGCTGTAGTCATGAGAGTTCCTGCTTTAGTTCAGCAACAATTACAGGTCTTGTTCCCTGCCCCAGCCTGTGACTGGACAGTGAAATGAGAAACAGTACACTGGTAATCTTATCTCACTGCCACTCTGCTGTCTCTTCCTATCAGTATGCTTGTTACAATGCAGCACCACTGAGTGGCTCCCAGTGCTGCTTTTTCCTACCCCAGTGCGGTTGTACATGTAATTGCAAGTCCAAAGTCAAATTTGGGTGCTCACATTTAAACAAAAAGACATTTTAATGATGTATTATTGAGTACAGAGCTGCATACATTTGTGTATTTACATCTGCCTAGAGTTCAGCTTTAAAACAAAGCATCTCTCTAATACACTAGGAAATCAGTTTTAGATTTTTTTTAACTGGACATATCTTTTTTTGTGTTTGACATTAGGGTGAAACAGGAGCAGATGGAACACCTGGGAAAGAGGTACGTAATGCTACATGCTTTGGCCTTCTGTGTGCACATATGTATTCTCATTTGCTTGTACCTTTGCTAGTACTCCTCAAAAAGCTACTCTGGACCTAAATTTCACTCTTACCATTCTCCATGTTTGATATAATATATTATTGTATTATAATCTCAGAAACCTGTATAAATCTATATCTATCTGCAAAATAGCTGCTGCATCAGTAGCCATGTTTACCATAATTGGGATCATGTGCACGGCGAAGCTTACAATGACCAACAATGAGCCTCTTCCACACACAAGATCCACTATGGGAGCTTACATTGAGATTGGACCACCTTTCCGGTGTCTGCAGTAGCTTTTTATGTTTTTTTATGTCACAAGCAAAGGACTGGATCCTATCATTTGTTGTTAGGAAAAAAACTGAAGAATGTTATTATGGAAGAATTTGCTTCTTTTTAGAACAGCATACTTTTATGCATAGGTCTAATTATGAGACTCCTGTACATTCATCAACCTAGTGAGTCCATTGCTAAATCGGAAAACATTGCTAAATCAGATGTTTTTAGTTCAGAGAAATAGAGAAAAAGGCCTTAGAACATATTTGTTTTGGATAACAATCACATTATAATGACATTTTACCACTTGAAAATCAGTATGGCAAATTTATTTATCTGCTTAGAAAAAATAAATGAAAGACTGTCCTTCTGGAATTCATTGCCTCAGAGGTGATTGGGATAAGGATTTGGAGTACAAAGATGAAAACATACAGTATATTACATGTGTAGTCCTGTGAAGGCTTCTGCAACAAGCATTATTCCTGAAGATTAATCATAGTAAGGAGATTATGCTGTGCAGCTGACAAAATAACAGGCTGCCTCTCATTTAATTCAGAATCAGTGGCATTTCATTAAACAAAATGCGTGCTTAAGTTGCTAGCTGTATCTTTTAAATCAGCCTTGATGTAATGATAGATTCATATTTATTTGAAGTGGATATTCGATATAGACTTGTATCAATATACATCTAACAGCCAAAATATTTCAGTAATTCAAAACACAGCATTATGGTAATGCAAAAACCAAATTGGATTAAACCAGTTAACATAATTTCATTGTAGCCTTTTATAAAGTCGGTCAGTTTATTTGTTGTAGCATTCATGTGATTCTTTGAGCATTTTTTTGTATTATTGAGGTAAATCTTTGGTGATTTATATGGTTCAATGTGCATTGTGGTGCACTGCATGCTATGTTTTTACCTGTATATAACTACAGAAAATCAACGATAATACATTGTTTTATGTCCGCTTATATCATATCAGGGCTCTGCTGGAAAGCCTGGCATGCCGGGAATACCTGGAGAAAAGGTAAATAAATTATATAATTTGGCATCTTGTGATTACATAGGTTATTGGAGATTAAGCTATTTTGTATTATATACACTTTTACTATAGGGTGAAGCTGGTGCTCCTGGGTCTGCAGGACCTCAAGGAGAGAGAGGAAGACCAGGGCCGCCAGGAGGTGGCTATGGAAAAAGTGAATCTGTTGGAATTGTTGGACCAAGAGGACCTTCTGGAGAGAGAGGATCTACTGGCTCTCCTGGTCCACCAGGTACACCAGGAATTCCCGGAACTCCTGGAACAATGGTAAGAGGAGAGAAGAAAAACAGGGTCTGATATAATATGCTGTTTTCTACAACTTACCAATACTTGAAAAAGACAAGTATTCAAAAATAAATAATATGTATGGGATTTTAAAGCTTAAAAAGTTATTTTCATTCTATCTATCTATCTATCTATCTATCTATCTATCTATCTATCTATCTATCTATCTATCTATCTAATCTACCTATGTATCCTAACAAATTGGAGTATTTATTAAAAAGCACAAAAGAGGTTTTAATAATTAAGGTTATGAAATATTTAGAGAAGACACAAACGTATCTAATAAGCTTATCTAGTTGATTCAAATTTCTAATTAAAAATGTATTCTCAGTAGTGAAGTTATCTTCACTTTGCTGCTGTGTTAAAACATACACCATGTATATCACTAGAGATGCTTGGGGATTCTTGGAAATTTACTAAATTGATTGAAATTCCAAGTTTGCACCTTACATCTGGCCTTTCAACAATATGAACAGCTACTTTTTATCTTATGTTATAAATGCTCTCTAGAATATGTCTACTAAACTGTGTTATCTAAATACTAGGCGGATCCCATAAATTACGATGATATTAGAAGGATGATTCGGCAAGAAGTTATCAAGATCTTTGATGGTATGATTTTAAGGCTTACATATTGTGTAACTGTAATATTCTATTGATGCAAAGAAATATAAAACAGATATGTAGAGACAACATAGGGCAGTCTTTTGCTATGCTAATTTGCATCTCCTTACTAATTTTGCAGAGAGAATGGCATACTATACCACACGCATGCAGATGCCAGTAGAGATGGTTGCCTCACCTGGAAGGCCAGGTGCACCCGGCAAGGATGGGTCTCCAGGACGTCCCGGAAATCCAGGTGGGCCAGGTTCCCCTGGACAGATTGGACGAGAAGGAAGACCAGGAGTACCTGGAATGAGAGGTAAAATAAATGTAGAGAGAAGATCAGAGATCAGTATTTCAATATTAAAGGAGAACTATGGGGTTAAGGCTTTTCCCCATAGTTCTCCTTAGGGTAACGGGAGGACACAAACTAGCGTCCTCCCGTCACCCTAGGCTCAGTATACAGCGAGCTGTAGCTCGCGGTATGCTAAGACGCCGCAGCTGAAGCGGATCCCAACAATTATGTCTGCATTCATCCAGCTGCGTGACTGACAGCTGGCTCTGCCTACCTAGAGGCAGAGCCAGTTGTACCCGCCCCCTCCCCCATCCGTTCCGACAGTCAGCGCTTGCGGATCGGAGCGGGGAATCCAGCCCCTCCCCTGTCACGGCTCTCTGCTCGAGAGGTGAGCGAACGCCGGTATGTGTTCGCTCACCTCCCGATCTACTGAGCTGACCTGTGAAAGTCTCATTGTCACAGGTTGGATGGAACTATGAGGTGAGTGAAAAGCACTCACCTCATAGTTCTCCTTCAAACCAAATTGAGCCAAAAAATATATTTTTGCTTTGTTTGGCCATTGGTTTGCTGAATTATGTGCCATCTTTGTAAAAGTCTATTATCATAATAATTTGTGTCTCCACTACTGCCCACAAGGTCAAATTATTTTGCCTGGACTTAACAAAATAATTAGAGTATTTAGTGACTGTGAATAATTATGGAATTAAAAGGACCATGGAAGAGATAGAATCTAGCATTAAATTTGTCTTGTCAGCAGACATTTATATTTTGGGTGAACATTGCATTTAGGATAGCATATGGTCCTTAATCCACATTTGAAAAGCACTGAATTACTTTTCAAAAGCAAACATGCTTTATTATTTTACTTTCAGGTGAACCTGGACCAAAAGGAGATAGAGGAAACAATGGAGTTGGTGTCATGGGTGATGTGGGCCCAACACCTGGAAGGCCAGGTGCACCCGGCAAGGATGGGTCTCCAGGACGTCCCGGAAATCCAGGTGGGCCAGGTTCCCCTGGACAGATTGGACGAGAAGGAAGACCAGGAGTACCTGGAATGAGAGGTAAAATAAATGTAGAGAGAAGATCAGAGATCAGTATTTCAATATTAAAGGAGAACTATGGGGTTAAGGCTTTTCCCCATAGTTCTCCTTAGGGTAACGGGAGGACACAAACTAGCGTCCTCCCGTCACCCTAGGCTCAGTATACAGCGAGCTGTAGCTCGCGGTATGCTAAGACGCCGCAGCTGAAGCGGATCCCAACAATTATGTCTGCATTCATCCAGCTGCGTGACTGACAGCTGGCTCTGCCTACCTAGAGGCAGAGCCAGTTGTACCCGCCCCCTCCCCCATCCGTTCCGACAGTCAGCGCTTGCGGATCGGAGCGGGGAATCCAGCCCCTCCCCTGTCACGGCTCTCTGCTCGAGAGGTGAGCGAACGCCGGTATGTGTTCGCTCACCTCCCGATCTACTGAGCTGACCTGTGAAAGTCTCATTGTCACAGGTTGGATGGAACTATGAGGTGAGTGAAAAGCACTCACCTCATAGTTCTCCTTCAAACCAAATTGAGCCAAAAAATATATTTTTGCTTTGTTTGGCCATTGGTTTGCTGAATTATGTGCCATCTTTGTAAAAGTCTATTATCATAATAATTTGTGTCTCCACTACTGCCCACAAGGTCAAATTATTTTGCCTGGACTTAACAAAATAATTAGAGTATTTAGTGACTGTGAATAATTATGGAATTAAAAGGACCATGGAAGAGATAGAATCTAGCATTAAATTTGTCTTGTCAGCAGACATTTATATTTTGGGTGAACATTGCATTTAAGATAGCATATGGTCCTTAATCCACATTTGAAAAGCACTGAATTACTTTTCAAAAGCAAACATGCTTTATTATTTTACTTTCAGGTGAACCTGGACCAAAAGGAGATAGAGGAAACAATGGAGTTGGTGTCATGGGTGATGTGGGCCCACCTGGATCACCAGGTAAAATTTAATTTAATGTTTTGTTATGTTAGTATGTAGAATTGGTTAAGACTAGCCACAGGAAAATGAATTTGAGTTACTAAATCAAATGTATTCATGCTTCAGGACCACAAGGACCACCTGGATATGGTAAATTAGGGCCACCCGGTCCAATGGGACAACAAGGCATTCCAGGTATACCAGGACCCTCTGGGCTAAAAGGTAACACAGGCAAAGACGGAAGATGCAACCCCTCGGATTGCTACAATATGATGTCTGTACAAGAATATCAGTCAAAGAGCATGAAAGGACCTGGTCGATAAGCTGTCCCATTCCACAGACTCCATCAACTGTCCCAGTGGATCATCTTTAGAGAGTTTGCCCTTTCTTCGTTACAGTGACCAAAAACATGCTTCTCGATATACTGATCTCTATATATTGCTCCATATCGAGAGGCAACATTTTCTTGTAAAGAATGGGAAGCATATGTCCATGCACCTTGTATACTTTAAGTTCTTCTTTGTTCAACCCATTAGGCTTTGTATTCCTTGGCTTTTTTATTTTTCATAGTTTTTCTAATTCCTACATTATTTTGTAGCACTTTAGTAAACTGTAAGATCCCTGTCTGTGACAGACCAGAATGATACTCCACAGCCTCATCAAGTCATCAAAATAATATATGATCGGTCAGGAGTTTTATAACAGAACTGTTTCTTTCCAGTCTTGGTCCCTAGCATGATAATTTTTCACATTTTCCATAACTGTGATATGGATTCCACTTTATCTTGTCTAAGCTTTGAGATGAGGACTATTTTTTACATTTTACTCTTCTCTTATATATACAAATCATTTTATACTTACAGCTATGTCCTTTGTATGAGATGTCCTTCTTCCTGTATTTCTCTGCTTTGTATATTGGACTTTCTCCAAACCAAATATCCATAGCATATATTTTACCATACATTTCATTTCAGGAGTTTGTTGCAATTTTTCTATAAAATTGTCTTAATTTATTCTGCTGACTGTGTCAGAAACATCAAGAATACCTTGTTATTATCTTTTGAATCTCTGTATTTCTTTCTTTGACGGCTATTGCTGGGTAATTTCAATAACATGACAGTTTTTGCTATTCAGCATATTTGGTTTTCAAACTGTACAGATGTCATCTGAGTCTTTTACATCCATTGTAGCACATATTTATTAGATCATCACTCTATTGTTTAACTTTCAGAAGCTGATGTAGAAAAGTCACAGACAGTTGTGAAAGTATAGTTTGCTTTTCATTGCCTATCATCATCATTTTTCAAATAAGATGGGTGGTGGCGATCTTCCTTAAAAAAAAACAGGTGTTTGTTAAAGTGACCCTATTGTAAAATTAATATGACAGAAAAAGGTTGCCCCCTGAAGAGATATACTTACCTTTCTTGCCGTCCACACCACTAATCTTTGCTCTCTTCGAGGACTATGGTGCCCGGAAAATCATCCTTAGCCACACACTTTGGAAATGTCAGATTTTTGGTCCCCCGCCAAGTGCTGTCATATCTTTAGCTGACCCCCTACATCAGTGCAAGACACATTTTTGATGCAGGGCCTGGTGGAAGGAACCATAGAGAATAGGATTCTCTGAAGCCTAATAGCTCTTAAATAAAGTGAAGGTCAGTGGTGCAGACAGCGTGTCAGATAAGTATGACATCTCACAGCGCACCCTTCTTCTCATTTTTAATTTTGTGACAAGATTACTTTTAGTTTTAAAATAATATTAAGGAGGAATTCAAATGCAAACAGCTACATACACATTAGAATCTGTCTCTAGATTTATGTTTTAAAAAGGCCTGCTTGTATATAATACCCATATGTCCCACCACCAATATTTGCCCAGAAGTGTTGTTAATACTGAAGATATTTTAACCACCATAGTCTTCAAGATCAGTAGTACCAGCAGCAGGACAGGTATTATTATTTTTTTAATTCCTTAATTTAGCTTTAGTCTTTAGGGGGGAAACCAAATAAATATTATAGAATATA